CGTGCTTGGGATCCAAGCATGAAACACCGCCGACCACTCCTTCTCGACCTTGGCTTTCGAGGAGAGCCTGGGCACGCACCGCGGCCCTGGCGGCGCTTTGCCGACCAGCCTGTGGATTCCAAGCCTGCCACATAACACGTATACCACTGTTCTCACCCCGTAGCGTGCTCACTTCTCCAATCGTTCCTGGTCTCAAGACCGCCGCAGCACGCCGTCCACAGGGCGACGAGATCTATGCACATGCGCCGCCACTGGCCAGGCCCATCATGGGCTCAGGATCGGTGAATACGCCCCCCTGGCTTGGACAGGGAGGCATGGGCCCACGGTGGGCCTGGCCCAGGGGCGGTGGACATGATGACATGTCTAGATCTCGCCGCCCGATCTCAGCAGATCAGATCGGCCATCAGGACGCTGGGCCTTCTGAGAGCCCCCCTTGTGGCAGCCGCGCGTCGCCATGGTCGTGCCGTCCGCAGTATTGCGGCGCCCGCCTGCCCGGGAGCAGATGCAGACGTGCGCGCGGCAGCGCAAACCGATCCACGGCGGCGTGTGCTGCGGCTGGCGCGTGTCGGGCCCCTGTTCTCTTCACTGGCTTGGCTTCCTGCTGGGGGATCGACAGGACCACCCGGTGCATGGAGCCCCGTGCGCCCCAGTTTTTTTTTTTTTTTTTTTTTTTTTTTTTTTTTTTTTTTTTTTTTTTTTTTTTTTTTTTTTTTTTTTTTTTTTTTTTTTTTTTTTTTTTTTGTGTTTTTTTTTTTTTTTTGTTTTTTTTCCTTTCTTTTTTTTGCACCCCGCATCCCTGCGTGTTGTTGGTCTTGCTGACCTCCAAGCATCAAGTGGTGCCCAAATCAACGTTTCGAGTACTGCGCGACAGGGTCACACGGACGCGCCGTGGGTAGGCAGGGACCTTGGGCGCCCAAATTGAAGCCTTTTGGAAGGAAGTGGCCAGCAATAGAGGCTAAGGATGGGCCGAATATGCAAGGATGAAAAATGTGCTCTCGGAGAACGACTCATCCTGATGATTCAGTTGGCGCCCCCCTTGGCCTCTCCAACGGTGCGCACGCGCGAGCGCGGTGGCGAGCTTGCGATGCAGCGCGCCCCCCCCATCTCCTCCTCCTCCTCCCCCTCCTCCTCCTTCTCTTCCTCCTTCCTCCTCCTCCTCCTCTTCATTCTCCTCTTCCTCCTCCTTCTCCTCGTCCTCCGCGTCCCTCCTCCTGCTCCTCCTCTTCTTGCTCCTCCTCCTCCCCCCCTCCTTTCCCCTCCCTTCTCCTCGTCCTCCTCCTCCTCCTCACCTCGTCTTCCTCCTCCTCGTCTCTCTCCGCCTCCTCCTCCGCCTCCTCCTATCCCTCCTGCCTGCCCCTCTCCTCTCCTCAACTCCTTCCTTCTCTTCCTCTTCCTCTTCCTCCTCCTCTTATTCCTCCTCCTCCCTCTCCCTTCTCTTCCTCCTCCTCCTTCTCCATTCTTTTCCTACTCTCTCCTCCTCCTCCTCCTCCTCCTTCCCTGCCTCCTCCTCCTCCTCCTCCTCCTCCTCCCTCCGCAAGCAGACCTGTCCTTTACCACCTTGCTGTTTTTTCTTCTGGAAGGTCAGGCGTACTCTGGCGGGTTGGGCTTGACGAGATCATCAGAACGGCGGCGCGTATGCCCCGATCGGCCTGCTGTGGGCGACGTTCAGGTTCGGGAACCGTTTCGGCAACATGACAACGAGTGTGTACCACAACGCGTTTTTGTTTCAACCATCCTGTGGTGTTGTGTCCCACGTTTTGAACAAAAAACAACGCCCCTCGTTTCCTTTCCTCTCCTCCTTCCCCCTCCTCCCCCGCTGTGGCACACCCCTCACACGCTTCGTGGCCCCATAAAAAGGGGCTCCGCCGAAGGCCCCAATGGCTGCTCTCGCATGCGGGACCCCCACGCTGTACAGCGTTTCGTGGCCCAATAGGAAGCTCCACCGACGGCACCAGTGGCTGCTCTAGCATGCGGGAGCCCCACGTTGTCCACGCTGTACAGCGTTTCGTGGCCACACAGGGGGCTCCCCTCCATGCCTCTGCCCTTATCAATATGCCCCCACCCGCCCAGTACAAGGTCTCGGGAACTCCACCGACGGCCCCACTGGCTTCGCTCGCATGCGGTTCCCCCGCGCTGACCAACACTTCGTGGCCCCATGGGGAGCTCCACCGAAGTCCTCAATGGCTGCACTCTCATGCGGAAGCCCTGCCCACTAGAGCGTTTCGTGGCCCCATGGGGTGCTCCACCGAAGGCCCCAGGGCTACACTCGCATGCGGGACCCCAGCACAATAGAGCGTTTCGTGGCCCCATGGGGAGCTCCACCGAAGGCCTCAGTGGCTGCGCTCGCATGCGGGACCCCCGCCCAATACAGCGCTTCGTGGCAGCACGGTGAGCTCCACCGAATGCCCCAATGGCTACACTCGCATGCGGGACCCCAACACGATAGAGCGTTTCGTGGCCCCATGGGGAGCTCCACCGAAGGCCTCAGTGGCTGCGCTCGCATGCGGGACCCCCGCCCAGTACAGCGCTTCGTGGCAGCATGGGGAGCTCCACCGAATGGCCCAGTGGCTGCGCTCGCATGCGCCCTCCCCACTCAATACAGCGCTTCGTGGCAGCATGGGGAGCTCCACCGAAGGCCCCAGTGGCTTCGCTCGCGTGTGTTTTCTCCCACCTGTAGAGAGTTTCGTGGCCCCATAACAAAGGGGCTCCACCGAAGTCCCCAATGGCTGCACTCGCATGCGGGCCCCCCGCCCTTTACAGCGTTTCGTGGCCCCTATGGGAAGCTCCACCGAAGTCCCCAGTGGCTGCACTCGCATGCGGCCCCCCCACTTCATACAGCGTTTCGTGGCCCATAGGTAGCTCCACCGAAGGCCCAAAACTCTCAGTGTTGGCATGCGTCTCCCTCGTCCAGTACAACGCTTCGTGGCAGCATGGGGAACTCCACCGAATGCCCCCGTGGCTTCGCTCGCACGCGGGACCTCCGCCCAACACGTCGCTCCGTTGCCTCATAAAAGGGGCCCCACCGAAGCTCTCGGTGGCGGTGTGAGCATGCGGTTCCCCCGCGCGGACCAGGGCTTCGTGGCCCCATGGGGAACTCCACCGGCTGCCCCAGTGGTTACACTCGCACGCGGGACCCCCGCGCAACACAGCGTGTAGTTGGCCCACAGGGAGCTCCACCGAGGGCTGCAGTGGCGGTGTCCGCGTGCTGTCCCCCCACCCGGCACAGCGTTTCGTGGCCATGCAGGGCGTCCAGCGAGGGGCCCCACTCTGGCGGCCCTCCCCACTGCGGCAACCCCCTCGCCCATGCGGCGGCCCCAGGGCTCCGCGTAGATGCCCAGGGGCCACGCCCACATGGCGGCCCCGCCCCACATCGGCACACGCTTCGCATGCCTCGTGTCCCAGTGAAGAGATCCCCTGAATGAGATACCCGCAGCGACTGTACTCACAACTGCACATGGATCCTTCGCCAAGGTGATTTCGTAGGCAATCCGCGGAGACAGAGCTCGTGGCGTCAGTAGTGGCGGGCTGTCGCCCGCCCGCCTCCTCGCAAGCGCAGGGGCACAACGTGATGGAGAAGAGGCGCTACTCCACCACAGACAGCAGCGCGTCCACCCCCACCCGTACCTCTCAAGCCATCATCACAAGCCCCCCTCCCTCCCTCGCAACCTGAAGGGCCAGCGCGACCCTCCGTGCCATCTCGGTCGGCGCGAGGCCTTTGATCTTCGCCGCCCTGCGGTCCACGTCCTGCTGGAGGAGGAGGAGGATGAGGATGAGGAGGAGGAGGATGAAGAGGCGGAGGCGGAGGCGGAGGAGGAGGAGGAAGAGGCGGAGGTGGAGGTGGAGGTGGAGGAGGAGGAGGAAGAGGAGGAGGAAGAAGAAAAAGAAGAGGGGCGGGAATGCAACCTTCCCTCCGCCGACTCTTCCAAGACGACGATTTATTCTTCATCTCCCGTGAGGGGTTATCCCTCCTTGCCCTCTCCCTGGAGGTCTGGGGAGGGGTGGAGCAAGAGGATGAGGAGGATATGGTGGAGACACAGCATGAATATGATGATGATGATGATGATGATGATGATGATGATGATGATGATGATGATGATGATGATGATGATGATGATGATGATGATGATGATGAGGATGAGGATGATGATGAGGATGATGAGGATGATGAGGATGAAGATGATGATAGCTTGGAGAATGCGCGGGTGAGCGTGGAGGAGGAAGAGGGGGCTGATGAGGTTTATGCGGATACGACACATATGGCGAGAAGGAAAATGTGGCGGAAGAGGATGAGGATGAGGAGAAGCAGGTGGAGGAGGGTAATTATGATTGCAAAAGGAGAAACGTGAGGAGCAGGAGGATAATCAGGAGAAAAGAAGCAATGCGCAGAAAGGGGGAGGAGAACTGGGGAGAGGAAGCTGAAGGAGGAGGAAGACGGCTGAGGAAGACATCGGGGGCAGTGGAGGGTGGACACGGGCGATGTGCACGTTAGGGATAGGGAAGGTGGTGTCTCTCCCTTCCCTTTCTGGTTTGTCGCTCCTGGCTCTTCGCTTCCTCTCCTTCGGCCCTCCGTTCCCTTTGCATTTGCCACTGGCCTGGCTGTCCTGCATCGAATTGGACGGCTGTCGTTTCAATTTCGATCCATGGCGCCCGCGCGTGTCGGACTCAACACCGCGACGCCGCGCGCGTGGTCGCCGAGAGACATGTGTGTGCGTGATTAATCAAGCAAGCCTGCCTCGACGGGGGCTCGAAGTGAGGGTCTGCTGTCCCCCAAACGTGTAATTTCCGAAGACGTATGCTGCCCTGGTCCCTTGGGGACTCTGTGGGCCGCCGGCTAGCGCCGACAGGCCCCCGATGGCCTGCCCGTTGACACCGGCTAGTCCCCGAGGGCCTGCACGTTGCCCACTACTGGCCCCGACGAGCCCCTGGTGGCTACTACCCAAGAGGCCTGCCCGTTGGCCGCCGCTGCCCCCCGACTAGCCCCAGGGTGGCCGCCTGCCAATTTGCCGCGAGTGTGGCTGGCCACTGCCAGGCCCGACTAGCTCCGAGTTGCCGCCTGCCCTGACTTGATTTGGGATTTCGAAGGCCGCCGCGAGCCCCGACGAGCCCCAGGCGGCCGCTTGCCGTGGTCTGTTGGGAATTCCATTGGTCGCAGCCGGCGCCGACTACCCCTGAGCTGTCGCTTGGCCCCAGTTTGGCGGGATGTTCCCCCCGACTGGCCAGGGCCGTATAGTTAAAATAATGAAGGGGCCAAGAGGCCAGAATCCCAGGACTTGCCGCGGGACTTTTGGGTTTTCTCGAATGGCCTTTGGGGCACCCCGCGTGACCTGGGGCCAGGGGGCCGAGACGGGCCAAGAGGGCCCCAAGAGGCCCCCAAGACGGTCCAAGAGGTTTCCGAGTCGGCCCAGGAACGGCCAAAGACGCCGAAAACGGATTCAAGACGGCCCAAAAAGGTTTCCAAGACCCCCTGAGATGGCTCCAAGAGGATCCCCACGAGACCCACATCGTGGATACAGGGCTCCTGCAGGGTTTTCACGCTCGTCTTTTCGAGCTTCCAACGCTCCGACATGGCCAAAGAGGCACCCGATATCGCTCCCAAACGACCCAAGAGATCCCCAAGAGGGCCTCCAGACGGCTCACGAGGGCTCCAAGACGGCCAAGAAGGCGCCCAAGATGGCCCACGAGAGCCCCAAGAGGTCACCAGAGGGGGAACCTAAACTTACATTTCGAGCTTTTCCCTCAGCGATGGCCACGAGACCGCCAGCCAACAGGCCCAAGAGCCTCCAATACGCCCCCGATATGCTCCAAGAGGTCCCGACATGCCTTCGAACTGCCCCCGATCAACTTCGCAAAATATCCCCCCCCCCGCCCCGCAGCCCCTACCAGGGAGGGCGGGCGGGAAAGCATAATGCACTGAGTCCGCGCGCCACGCACCAGCGCTCTTCCTCCCGTTCCTCCTCCTCCTCCTACTCCTTCTTCTTCTCCTCCTCCTCCTCCTCCTCCCTTCCTCTGGCCTCCGCGCGCCAGCTCAAGGGCGCGGTCGCCCCCCAGTGGACGTGACAGACCAGGCAAACGGCAAGACAGACAGACAGCACGGACCGACAGGCCGACGACGACGACGACGAACACGATGACGACGACGACGACAACGAGGACGACGACGACGACGAGGACGACGACAGACGGACGCGCCCACACCGACGACAGGCAACCGCAGCCCACAGGAGGGGCACCGCGCCTTGAGCACATGCCTGCCCCTCCCCCGAGGCCGAAACAGAGAGAAGACCCCAACCCCAAAGGCCAATATTTAAGCAATGGATGCCGAACCGCTAGCTCGTCAGACGCTCTTGCTCCGCAGACCCGCTGTTCAGGAGCTAAGAGAATCCTCCTCCCTCGCTCTGGTGTGTCTGCGCCCTCGTGCATTCACGGGGCTCTCATCCCAGCGCACCTGGCGAAGGACCTCCCGGGGCAATGTGCCGCCGGCTCTCCTCTGCACCCCAGGAGTGCCCTGGGCAGCCCCACCTCCATTCTTCACCCTGGAGCGAACGAGGGCCTGCCCCCGGGAAAGACACATCTGTCCAAACACGAGACAGCAACGCCATCTTCGTCCGTGTGAGCGAGAGAGAACGTGGCCTTGTGAGAGAATGCTGACAGCCCAATGCGCACAGGTGCGATGTCATTCTTCACTGGGCGAATCAAAGAATTCGACGAAAACTATGCACGCGATCGAGGGAATTATCAAATTGTCATTCCCAATCCTACTCTTCAGGATGCATGTGCCGCACGGTGTTGTCTTCCCTTATAAGCCACATACGTACAGGTGGGTACTTTCTATTGGTGTAGAACAATATTTCCGACTCAGGAAAACAATGCGTACAACATCCATTTCTCCGTGTGTTTTGTTGACGAATGCCCTCGCTTGCGGAGATCCCAAATGCAGCACCTAACCATACCGGAGACAAACACGCCGTGCCGCGACCACGATTCGCCCGTTTCGGCCTGCCTATGTTGGCTGCATCAGCGGGCCAGCGTCTAGGTCTGTTCCGCTGTGTCGCGGATCTTCAGACGACGACTCGCTCTGCCAGTCTTCTCTGCGCCGCGCACTATGCGATTGGTGTCCGACAGAGCACCCAAAGAAAACCTCGTCCATTGCAATGTCGATTGCGAATGCGATACGTATCTCGACAGAGAAGCCACACTCCGGAACAAGACTACGAAGGCGTCAACGTTGGCATGCGCCGGTGGCCACGAGTCCAAACGATGCACTGTGCAGCCGTGGCCATACAGCCGCAATGCCGACGCATACTGCGTAGCGCTCGCCTTCCATCCGCAGAATTCCAGCCAAAGAGCCTCCTTGTCGAATGTATCCTGCCCCGCGAGGCCAGCCCGCCTGGCCACCTCCGCGCGAGGGACCGAAGCAGGGGCGCGAAGAACGTAATGTCCACGGCCGCCATTGCACGAATCGCTTCGGCAAGGATGTCCAGATGCGGAACACACGTGCTGTTCCGTGACGCAGAGCACAAAGCTAACGCTGCCATGGCCGTCTGGCCTGCGGGCGCCCACGGCTGGCTGCGATACTGCATCCATGCGCCATCCGGCGCGCTAGGGCGGCGCGGCGCTCCCAAAACGCCCCTGAAAGGCCTCTAGTCAACGACCCTGGCACGGTGGCGGGATGTGCCGAAAGCTACTAGATCCGCCGCCCCCTGCTTGCAGGGGTGCACGGCGTGCTGGATGTTTCAGGTTTTGGTTTTGGTTCTTTTTCCAAAAGAACTCCCCAGTGGGCTCCGGCAGAACCCGCCGGCCACCCGGAAACGTGCTCAACGACCGGAACAAATCCTCCAAAAACGGCCGTTTCGCTCGGGACATCCTCAAAAAATCGCGAAGATGGCCCAAGATGGCCTCCAAGTCCGCCCGAGATGGTCCAAGACGGCCTCCAAAACGGCCCAAGAGAGTCCAAGACGGCCCAAGACGGCCCAAGAGGCCCCCCAGAGGCCTCCCAGACGGCCCAAGAGGCCTCCAAGAGGTCCTCCAGGAGAGTCCGAAGAGGCCAAAATCATTGATTTTCCTTGGTTTTTGAAGGATTTGGGCATTTGCGCCTTTTCGGCTCTCCGACGGCTCAAGACGGCCCAAGAAGCCCCCAAGATCGCCCAAGAGGCCCCCAAGAGAGCCCCCTGATGGCCCAAGTGGCCTCCAAGATGGCCCCTATAGGGCCCCAAGACGGCCCAAGAGGCCTCCAACACGCCCAAGATGGCCTCCAAGACGCCCAAGATGGCCTCCAAGACGGCCCTGGAGCGCCCCAAGAGGGTCCCCCGTTGGCCAGAAAGGCCCCCAAAACGGCTCCCGACGGCGTCAGACGTGCCAGGAACCCACCAAGATGGCCGAAGTTCGCTCGAAGCTGGCCCAAAAGGGCCCAAGAGGCCCCCAAGAGGGCCTCCAGGAAGGCCAAAAGATGCCAAAATCACTGATTTCCCCAAGGTTTTTGATGGATTTGGGCATTTCCCTTTTTTCGGCCTTCCGACGGCCCGACACGGCCCAAGAGCCCCCAAAGATCGCCGAAAGATCGCCCAAGAGGCCTCCAAGACGGCCAAGATGACCTTCAAGACGCCCACGTGTTCCCCGAAGGCTTTCCAAACCGATTCGGGGAACACATGGTCCGATGGCTTGGCAGGTCTGGCCTCAACGTTCGGCCACATAGGCGCTTCCACAAAGGCAGGGGGCGGCGGTGATTCGCCGTAGGCGTCTTCGATCCGCCGCCCCCTTTTGCTTTAGCGAAGGGGTGCCTGGCGTGCTGGACCCTCTCGGTTTTGGTTTTGGTTCTTTTTCCAAAAGAACTCCCCCTGGGGCTCCGGCGCGTCCCGCCGGGGTCCCGGGATTTTTTCCAAGGACCTCAATTCCCTACTTTTCTGCCCAAGACGGCTCCAAGATAGCCTCCAAGATGGCCAAGATGGCCCAAGATGGCCTCCAAGATGGTCCAAGATGGCCTCCAAGTCCGCCCAAGATTGTCCAAGACGGCCTCCAAGACGGCCCAAGAGAGTCCAAGACGGCCCAAGACGGGCCAAGAGGCCCCCCCAGAGGCCTCCCAGACAGCCCAAGAGGCCTCCAAGAGGTCCTCCAGGAGGGCCCGAAGAGGCCAGAATCATTGATTTTCCGTAGGTTTTTGAAGGATTTTGGAATTTGCTTCTTCTCGGCATTCCGACGGCTCAAGACGGCCCAAGAGGCCCCCAAGATCGCCCAAGAGGCCCCCAAGAGGGCCCCATGACGGCCAAAGTGGGCTCCAAGATGGCCCCAAGAGGGCCCCATGACGGCCCAAGAGGCCTCCAACACGCCCAAGATGGCTTTCCAAGACGCCCAAATGGCCTCCATGACGGCCCCGAACCGCCCCAAGCGGGTCCCCCGTTGGCCAGAAAGGCCCCGAAGATGCGCTCCGACGGCCGTTCAGACGTGCCAGGAACCTACCAAGATGGCCGAAGTTGGCTCGAAACTAGCCCAAAAGGGGCCCAAGAGGCCCCAAGAGGGCCTCCAGGAAGGCCGAAGAGGTCAAAAACATTGTTTTTCCTTAGGTTTTGTGACGCATTTTGGCATTTCCTTCTTTTCGGCCTTCCGACGGCCC